ATTCCAGGGTTTCGACCTACCTCCATTTGGAGGCTGGAAACCCAATCCCTTGCCAGGTCCCTTAAAAGAAAGTGGTTGATTCTTGGGGCCATGACCTCCAGTTGCTTCATAGGTCCCCTGGAGAAAATCAAGAAAATATGTCCAATAGAGCTTCCCCTTAAAGCAAACAGGGAACAATGCAAAATACTTGTGAGCAAATGGGCCTACTGTGGACGGGTCCCCGAAATCCGTTTGCACTACAAAACGAATCCATGGTCGAAGCCATGGTTTGTTGGTATTCAAAGGGATGTCGAACCATTCCAGGGTTTCTGAACGGTGCTGCGGAATGGACTTCACCCATCCACCCGCAGCAGGTGACATTCCAAAGTGTTGCTTTTCAATTTGTTTCGAAGTGGGCCCGTTGCAGCATGCAATTCTGTGTGGGCCTCTACAAGTCTTAGATCCAGTAAGTTCGCCTACAAAGGCGAACCAGGTTTCAACCATGGGGAAAGAAGTGGAGTGGAGGGGGGATATATGCTGAACACTTATGGTATCCACTTTGCTCGCTCTTGGGAGTTTGAGTCTGCAACATTGGTGTGTCTTATTCTAGGGGACCCACAACATGGTGGGAACCCACATCATGGTTGCCACAAAATTCAAAAAAGAGCACCCGCGAGAAAAAATACTCACACCCAACCAAAGCTAACCACGGCACGCAGAACGCAACCTGCTCCCCCCCCCCCCCCCCCGGCCTCCCGCGCAACCCCCCCGCTCAACCATCCCGCGCCTCTTTGCCCCGCAGCCGCAGCACCGCGAACTCCGCGTTGGCCCACTGCAGCTCGAAGAGCGGGGAGGCCAAGGCCCGCGGGCAGAAGAGGTCCTCAGGCTCGACGGGGCCCAGGTCAAGCGTCTGTTATCTCGGTGGCTTTCTGCTCCCTGGCGAAAAGTTTTGAACTTTTTATGGGTTGAATAGAAAACCCATTGGCTGGCTAAAAGGGAAAGTCCTAGCATCCAAGCAAAATGCACCTCTGTTTTAGGTCCACTGCTGTGGATGGTTGCGAAATCCTAGGCACCATACAGCGCGCGTTGTCTGAACCTATGGGTCTTTCCGAACCAAACCTCTTTGCAAATTCCATGGTTGCATGTGGATGGCTCAGAAACCCTGGAATGTGCAAATACCAAGAAATTATGGTTTCCCTTGCTTTTCAAAGTGGAGCGCCGTTTTGGAAGCGAGTTCTACTACCTTCAGCAAGGATTGTAAACACGGCCTATGTAAAATTTCCCATGCATCTTAGAACCAAAAGACTGGTGTAAACAAGCTGTGGATGGACGAAACTCGATCGCACTGCTTTGAAACCAAGAAAAAGCCGTGGTTTGTTGGCATTTGCAGGAGAACCGCATCACTATGGATGGACGAAACTTGATCGCACCGCTTTGAAACCAAGGGAAACCATGGTTCGTTGGCATTTGCGGGGGAACCGAATCATTCCAGGGTTCTGAAGGGTGGTGCGAAATGGATTTCGCAACCATCCACAGTAGCGGAACCAAAAGAACAAGGCCTACGTAAACCTTTCAATTCATCTTAGAACCAAGAGACTGGTGTAAACATACTCTGGATGGACGAAATCTGTTCACACCAGGTGAAACCTTGATGTTGGCCTCCTGATGAATACTCCCGCCTCGCTTATTGGGATTCTGCAATGACCGGGGGTCAAGGAGGCTCGCAGCAGCCGAAGCGCACCTTTGCGCTGAGATCGAATGTCCACGCGCCCAACGGCGCGGTCGCAACCGTGGCTCGGTGTCGAGCGGACAAAGGGGCCCCTCTGTCTAGGGCCATGGTGGCAGCAGTGGATCAACAGTTGACATGTCACAACCGAAGGAATCGCATGGGCCAAAAACCTTTCTCAACTGCTGATCCCGTTGCTGATGTGCCGTCACGTCCTTGATGGCAGAACGCCCTTGGCCGTGGCTCTTACGAGCTGAAGTGAAGGTGTTGTCGTATGCAACACTCCACAGGCCTGTTTGAAGAAACTTGGTGAGACCCAGGCGACACTCAGCTTTCTTCTTGGTCAAGGCGTCGCCGAGATCATAGTCGCTGGCCACCCAACGAAGTTCAGCTCCGGTTCGGGTGAGATGCTCCCGAAGTTGAAGAGCTTGAAGCGCGGCTCTTGCGTTGCTCAACCCAAGCATTGGTGACTCGTTGTAGATCACCGCATCGTAGCCGCCCTTGCTGTCGGTGGCCAGAATGCCTTTGATGCCGCGGGCCATGCGTTCAGCCCATTCCACCCTGTCTTCATGTGGGGTGAGATCGTGACCGGCTCCATTCATTTCGCACCAGAGCACGCGGATGCGGAAGTTCTGGTCCTCGCCATCCAGGATTGCCTGGACTTCAGCATCATTTGAGGATATGGCCTTGCGGCGCAGCTTCCAGCTTCGCCATGCCAGGGGTGCCATGTATGTGACCTTGCCCTCGCTTGCATGAGGTCCAGTAGCAACTGAGATCAAGCCGCCGGTGGAGTCCATCTTGCTGCGGTTCGCGTGGGCTTGGTCGCAGAAGGTCACAAACACCATGTCTCGCCATGACTCGACTCCAGGTGGTTTCTTGTAGTGCAGCTGGTAGGCGTGCTTGCGAATCTCGCCGACTAGCTGTTGAAGTTCCAGCGCCGATTGCATGAGGCGCTTGGTCGTGATTTCAGATGCAAGTAGGTTGCACCTGGCGCAGAGCTGCGGCTGAGTCTGCAAGGCCAGCCATTGAAGACTGCCCCAGGTAGTGCGGCAGGCAGCTACCTCCTCAGGATTCATGACCGCATTCTCTTGACGAAGGCGATCGGGATCAATGTTCACATCGGCGATGGAGTCGATGTAGTACTGCTGATTGATCTTTACCTCCACGGAGCCGTCCTTGTTGATGATGGAGGTCAGGTCGGTTCCGGCGTGCCGGTAGTTGCCACGTTTGGCAGTGCCCCACTCGTAGAGCTTGTCGATCTGGGAACAGACCTGAACCCACTCAGGCGAGAGGCGATTGCCACAGCGATGGAAATCATCCACGTGGCCGCCCATGATGCCAAGTACCAGGGGGATGCCGAAGGCGTCCTTCTCCGTGGCTGACTGCCAGATCCAGATGCAGCGTTCACCAATGAGTGGTTTGCCGCCGATGGAGGCCAGGCGCCGGTGAAGGTCCAGCCAGAGTCCCCTTGGTGCGGTCGTTGAGCCGTAGATGTTCTTGAGGATCTTCATGACTCCGTCTGCTGGAACATCCAGGGCTTCACGAAGCTCTGATACACCGCGAGTCCACAGATCTTGATCCGCCTCTGTGGGCTGCGTCTGCAAGAATGCAGTGGCCAAATCGAGACCTTCAAGTTCCCAGCCGTGAGTGCAGGCCATGGTGTACAGGAGGTTTCTTCCCAGCCCAGACTGCACAGGGCTAGAGGTCTTGAACTCAGGCCGGAGAAGGTCCGGATGTTCGTAGCCGAGAAGCACAATGCGTGCTTTTGCCTTGCGTTGACCGTCCTTGGTGTAGGTGGACTTGGCGTTGGATTTCGCCTCGGCTTGAGCTTCTTGAAGATCTTCTGGAGGTGTTGGCTTCCAGGTGAGAACCCATCTGGCTCGCATGATGCGGCCAGATTCGAAGGCCTCGCTGACCTCCTTGTTGTCCAGAGCCTTGCGAACAGCCTCAGATTTGATGAAGCTGCTGACTTCCTTGGACTTGGCTCTGCTGAAGAGTTCTCTGTGTTCAGGAGAGAGACGGGAGAGCACAACCTCGCTGTCTCTCATCTTCTTGACCATGAAGGCCGAGGCGTCCCGGAGGAAGTCCTTCTCCTTACGGTGGGAGTTAAGGTCAACGTCAAACTCGATCTTCATCACCTCCTGGGAGTCGATGAGGAGCTGATGGAGATCACCTTCAACTTGGTGTAGTTCCTCGAGCCAGCCCAGGTCATAGCCGTCGGTACGCTGCTTCTTGTTGTCTGGCTCATAGCTGTTGGAATCTTCAGCTGCGGGATCAGCGCTTGGACTTGAGGTGCCAGGTAGATCAGGTGGTAAGGCTTGAGGTTCAGTCGAGGTCTCCGGCATGGATGGTCCCATAGAGCTGTCCAGTGACTCGGGAGTGTAGTCCGGGTCGTCCGCCATGAAGGGTACATGAGCAGGACGTGGAGGAACCAGAAATGGTGCGGACTTCACACGGATCCGCCTCTTGGGGATGTCGATGGTCTCCTTGTTGGGGAGATCGGGCAGATCAGGCTGCTCTTGTTCATCGACTCCGGGTTCATCGTCGGCAAGATCGATGAACTCCTTGTTGGGCAGCATGTCGGAGAGGGAACGCCACCGGGAGACGTCTTCCTTAGCACTGATCTCGAACTGGGTCTCTTCCAGGGGCGTGGTAGGTCTCACGGAGTGGACAGAGCAGCGCAGGAGCTGGTTCTGCAGTAGCACCCAGACGATGTGCCTTCGGGCGTCACTTGGTTGTTGATGTGGAAGGATCTCGTGAAACACCACTCGGCCAGGACCGATCCAGTGCGGGCGTCCGGATTTTCGAGCACCGCCCCGCTTGCCAACGTAAACGTGGGATGGCCATTGCTTGCGCCATACCATCACGAGTTGCATGGGATGGAAGGTCCTGATGGGCTGTCTCACAGTCGAGTTGCTGAGCTTGGAGAGGACACGAAGGGCACGGGTTTTGCGTGCTACTTGTTCAGCACTCTGACGCAGCTGGACTAGACGTGCGTAGTCGTCGTCGGGCGACTCAGGAAGTGTGGCAAAGGTTCTCACGTCCTCATCGGTGATGGAGTAGTCCTTGCCGTAGCACCACTGGAAGGATGAGTACCCTTTGACGTACTCGGTTGAGTTGAGCGAGGCGATGGCCAGGTGCAAGGTGATGATCGGGTCCTGAGAAGGAGAGCCAAGCTGAATGGCTGATGCTGTCATCTTGACGTCCTTGATGGCGGACTCAACTTGGCCATGTGCCCAGCTTTCCTTTTCCGCAGGAGGTGCAAGTTGTACACCGATGTCGGACAGGAAGTCGCTCACGTCCCGAGAGACCAGGGTGATGCCGTTGTCAGGGATGACGACTTCTGGCCGTGGTTTGTCGGCCAGCCACCGTTCAGCTAGACCTTTGATGATGTCTGCCGAGCTTTCGCTCTGCATTTGGAGGACATCGTAGCACTTGATGACATGCACAGCTCGGAGACGTGTGGCCAGGTCCATGATCAACATGAATTTGAGCTTCAGCTTGCTATGGGGTATCACCCACTCGGTCACGTCGACGCCAATGGCTTGCCAGGCGCGATACAGTGGATGCGTGGATGCCGGTGGTATACTTCCGGAAGATGATCCGCCAGGTCGAAGAGCATCACACGAAGCACACTTGAAGTCGCGAGCCATTTGAACCTTCCATTCGGGCAGCCGAGCATCTCGAAGTAGGTGCACAAGGTTGCGGTTGGTGGGATGCCCAGCGGCCTTGTGGAAGTGGTGTAGCTTGGCAGACCAAGCTCGGTGTTCTGGACCATCTTGAGGTACATCTGATGGCACAGACAAAATTGCTTCACTAGCGGGGTGACCATCTGCATGGAGTTCTCCAGCATGGAGATCATCGCGAACATGACCAGGAGGTAGAGCTAGGGATTGAGTTGCCTCCCAAGGTTCGTGAGATGGTGTGAGGGATGCATGCGATGGCCAGGTTGGGTCTATGGAGGTGATACCGTTGTGCTGGTAGTGCTTGAAGTTCCAGTGGTCGTCATCCAGGTTGACGTCCTTGTCAGACAGGTTCTGACAGGCCGAGAGGTACTTGAGGTACCGTTGTGGAGCAAGTTCAGATAGCCATCCGCGGACGATGGCTTGCACGAGTCGCAGTGGATAGTAGCTGGAGCGGCTCGTCTCTGCTCCTTCTATTCGTGCATGGTTGTGGTTGTTGGTGCAGACCCGAGCGCGGAAGGTCTGATGGAAGCGCTCATCGGTGGTACGGATCAACCACCGTTTCTTCAGGAGGTCCGTGCCGGCTTTGTTGGTCATGCCATAGCGACAGCCGTCAACTCGGCAGGGAAGCCAGTCCAGACCACGAGCTCGTAGACCTTCACGAAGGTCAACCACAGGTTGCTGCTCCCACCCAGCGCAGGGATGGGTCCATTCCCAGTAGATGTCGAAGTCCGGGTCCTCGTCGAGGGCCTGCAGGATGAACTGCTTGGCGTTCTTGAGCATTTTGCGTTCTCGACGTCGGGCTGTTTCAAGGACTTCTCGACGTTCCGGGGTGTTGTAGTTCAAGTTGGTGAATTGGCACCACTTGGTACATGGGAAGGAGAACCAAATGCGCTTGGGTCTGTGTTGTCGCCGTAGGTCTTGAAGGCGTACCCAAGTCTGAACATCGTAGATGTCAAAGCCTGCGTTGTAGTTGATGCGGCGTGCTGGTAATCCATGATTTTGCACTTCGGAGGTGAGCCATGAGTTGTCGGAGCAGGCCACCTCCCACAGGAGCCATGGAAGCCGTGGCGTTCGCGAGGTTGGTGGTCATGAGGCTCATGAGTTGTAGAAGTCGCAGACCAACAGAGTTGGGGAGCTTCTTCACGCCATCGGTTCCGCGTTGGGATTGTCCCCGAAGTGCTGGGTCTTGCGCATGGTCAGGGTGTTGAAGAGCTCGAGTTTCTCCTCCTCGGTGAGGTGCTGATCCAGGTCCGCCAGAATCGTGGTGGCCCTGTGCTCCACCTCGCGAGGTGGTTCGGAGGTCGTGGACATCTTCTCCCAGCTGTGAAAAGACTCCGCCTTCTGCGCAGGGCGCTCCTTGGACTTGGAGTTCATCCCGGAAGTTGCCGTCGAGGATGCTGCTTTCTTCGAAACGGACTTTGCGATCTGGATCTTGTGGAACAGCTTTTCCTCGGCGTTGATCTTCTCCTGCATGGCCAGGCAGATTTCCGAGGTCGGGCGCACGTCGCCCATCAGGTCCTGGAGCTCCTTCAGCATCCTCGCCACCATGCCGGGATTGTGAGTTTGGGTGCTGTTGGCTGGGCTGCCCTTGCGAGGGATGTAGGACAGCCTCAGATTGCATATTTGGCAATGGTTCCACTTGCCATGAGCATTGCTTCCGTAGCTGCCCGGCAGATGTCGAGCGAAGCATGGCCACTGGTCCGGATGACTTCGAGGGTCCCGAGGATCCAGGGGGACACTGCGGGTCTCGTCGAATTCCTTGACACCCTTCTTCTTTGGGACCGCCTCCTTGATCTTTGACAGCAGGTCCGTGGTCTCCAGATCGTCCGCGGTCGGAACCGGGGTCGTGTAGGCCATGGGACTCGGAGGTGGCACCAAAGACTGGGGTGTCACTGGTAACCTGGTTAGCTAACATCTGAGCAGATGCGCTACGGAGCCGCATCATCAGTGCAACTGTCCGGGTGTCAGGTGGTGCATGTTCAACGTGCAGGCAGTCATGTTCTGGGGAATCCAGTTGAACACGGAGCGTGTGGAATTCCAAAACCTGACAATCATGGATACGGCGTTGCCCGGCACCACGAACATGGATCCTGGGGTGGCCCTTACCATTGCTGAGACCGTTGGTGAGAAACTGTCTGATGTCCAACACATAGTGACCCTTGTGGTTGTGGCGCAAAGGATATGGCTTGGGGTCACTCTCCAAACTGTTGAGGGTCATGCCGGTGGAGAAATCAATCATCATACCAGCCCCGTGAGGTCCCAGATGATCCATACCAACCAGGATAGGAACCAGCATAGATCTGTCAAAACCAGGCTGATGTAGCTCTGGTGGATTGGGCAGGGCATAGACCTTGAACTGTTTGGGCGTACCTGATACATCACTCCGGAGGGTGACCTGATAAAGAGCCTGACCCCACTTCCCATTCCCGTAGCGGAAATACGGGCGAGCGGATTGATCAATCTCCACAACGGTGCAGTGGTCCTGTGCCACAATGGACTGTATGAGGCCCTTGACAGCCTCTTCTGGGCCAGCAGATGCTGTGGCCCCACAGTCCACCATGCCTTCAAAATCACCGCTGGTGGATGGCATGGTGGCAGGCATACATTCACCACCGTGGAGGTCCATGTCCAGGCCGCAGAACTCGGCCGTGTAGGAGTTGACAAAACTTCGCGAAGGGGTCGCGCCATAGCCCTTACCAGATCCAGAGTGCTTGGATTTGCCCTTGAAGTACATGGCGTCGTAATCATAGTCCATGGAGTAGGTGTTCTTGCCCTTGGACTTGCCCTTCTTGGAGCCTTTGTGCTGGTAGAAGTCGTCGTAGTAAGGGTCAACCATGAACTGAGAGTTGCCCTTCTTGCCAGAGGATCCCTTAGGATGTGGTGCATGCCGAAGGTCGGGACATTGGCGGATGAAGTGAGCGCCGCCACAGTTGTAGCATTTCCCGGAGTTGCCCTTGCCGAAGCCTCTGTCACGGTGTATGGCGGCCGTGGCTCGTTTGGCTTCAGCCCAGGTACGACTTGCTTCTTGGGCCATTTGTTCGGCAAGCTGTTCAGCTTGATGTGCTTCCTTGAGCTTTGACTCCTCAGCCGGGTCGAGATGGGGAGAGGCAGGACTGTTGTCCTTCGACTCGGAGTCGTTGTCCCAGTCCCAGGAAGTCTGGTCTTCGGCAGTCCAGTGTTGGTGCCAATCCTGATCCCACCACTGGACACTGGCATAGTGATCGTGCCATGGATCAGGTCGAGGGCCAGGTTCTTGTTCTTGAACATGTAGATGATGCTGTACAGCGTGAGGTTGGCGTTGTCCAAGAAGTTGATCGTCCCACAGCATTTGCAGCGCTCGACTGATGGAGTCGTAGTTCATGCTGTTTTGGGTGGTGCTGAGGATATCACGTTTTTCTTCACTGGTCAAGCTGGCAGCCTGTAGAAGACGCCAGCCACGCAGGACGCCCATAATGAAGGAGTCGGCAAGGGACATCTCGTCAATGACATCCACCTGAGTGATGTCCAGTTGAGGTTGCGCATGAGGGATGTCCTTGCCCTTGCCTTTGCTGCCAGGTCTGGAAGATCTGCCAGGGGAAGCACCAGGTGCAGCATCAGGGGAGCTGCCGTCCTGAGAGGCGTCCGTTGCCCTTGTTCTTGGTGGAGTGGTAGCTTCGTCGGGAACGGATTCATGCTCATCTTGATCTTGATCATCTTCTTGGAGAAAGGGCTCAGGTGAACCACTGGGGATGCCGAAGTCCTTGTCCTCCTGCTTGATGCCCTTGCGTTCCTCGAACAGACGAACCAGGGCTTCGGTGAACTCCGCGTAGCCGAGGGTCTCGCGGATGAGGAAGGCACTCATGCTCTCCTGGGGCAGCCGCTTGAAGGCGAAGTACTGGGCGCAGATGGCTGCCGTGTTGGGAAGGCTCTGTCTGACCAGAGGAGAGCCGGCCAGACGTCTGAGAAGATCTCGCGTACCATCTGGTGAGTCAAACAGTTGTAGAGGCCAAGACATGGCGAGGAGCCGTGCTGGGCCCGTCAATCGACTCACCAATTTGGTCGCGCAGTAGCGCCGCTTGTCCAAGGGGACGCTCATCACCCACCAGGCGACTTCACGGGTGTACCGTCTCCATGTCCGTGCAGATCCATCCCATTGTGGGATGTGGCCTTCCTTGTCTGACATCGTGTTGATGTTGAGGTTGAGCTGGAGGTTGCCGTAGTTGGTGTTCTCGTGGCCTGGTAGTTGATGTGTTCCAGGAGGTTGCCGTAGAGGGAGTTCAGGTGTGGGGAGATCTTGATGTTGTGACGCAGGAGGTCCTTGAGGTGTCCAGTGTGACCAGGGTGGTCCTCAACGTCGGTACCCGACGGAGATCTACACCTCAGTCTAAACCAGGTTGCCACCCTCAAGGTCGGGGCACGAGCCGAAGGCGAAGTGCGGGTGTTCCTCGGACTCCCGGATCGTGTAACCGTGCTCCGCTGCCAATGCAATGACCGGGGGTCAAGGAGGCTCGCAGCAGCCGAAGCGCACCTTTGCGCTGAGATCGAATGTCCACGCGCCCAACGGCGCGGTCGCAACCGTGGCTCGGTGTCGAGCGGACAAAGGGGCCCCTCTGTCTAGGGCCATGGTGGCAGCAGTGGATCAACAGTTGACATGTCACAACCGAAGGAATCGCAGATTCCCTTCTTCGAGGGGGAGCTCCCTAATTCAGGACTGGGTGCATTCATCAGGACTCGACATTACATGAAACTTGTGCACTACTTGTGCGAAATTCCTCCGAACCACCCCCCCCCCCCCGCCTGGCCTCTAGGCACATCCTTGCGATTTGTTTGCAGAAGACTGTGGGGTCTCTCAGGCCGCCGTTGTTTAGCCCATTCAAAACCCACAGCTCAACCCTCTGCTTGAAACTGGTCTTCTCCCTCAACTGGCTGGAGCGGACGCCCGCACGCCTTCCCTGAACTGGTGTTGTGTGCCTCTTGGGTTGAGCTGTTTTTGGGAACCTGAGTTCCAATCCCAGTGCCTCAGCGCGGACTTTTTTGGGGAGGTTGAATTCTTTCTGCCCGCTCGGGCCCCGGCCTGCCAGGGCCGATCACCCTCCTGGCGCTTTCTTCTTTCGATTTTTGGGGGGATCGCCCCTTTTCCCCTTTGTGGGGGTGAGGTTCTTTTTAGGTACACAAAAGGGAACCCCCCCCCCCCCCCCGCCCCCCAACCCCGGTTTTTCCCTTGTTGACCGATTTTGACACATACCCAGTTGTGGATGGAAACCCCTGGCTCAAGAAACAAGACATGGGAAATTGAAGCGCAATGTGAACCACCTATTGTCTGCCCACTGGGCGACAGCAATCAACCACACTTTGCCTACCAGGAAAGGTTGAAATCGGGACTGTCGCCTCCCCCTCTTTTCCAACGTTGAGTTTTCCCTCTGGTTCTCTCTTCGAAAAAAGAAAAAGAAGAAGAACAACACGCGCAACAATTGCCCAGTTGAACTCACGCCCAGTGCCTTGCAGTTCACCTCCGGGTATTTGTCCAAGAGGAAGGGCCCAAAGCCTGGGTCAGAAGCGAATGTCTGATCTCCCATGCAAGCCGCCGGAATACCAGCTCCTCATGATTGGTGAACTTGCTTTCTTTCTTCCCGGCTTTAGGCTCATCCCCTTGTCAACCCGGCCCTTTTCATGCTTGCTTTAAGAAGCCAAAGGGAAGCTGCGCACATGTTGAGTATCTCTGGTGATGGGCAAACCCAAACAGGCCCTGCAACAACATACCTGCCCCGGCAAACGTTCTCCGAGCCACTGCAGCGCTTGAACTCGAGAACCAGATACCGGGACCGGTACTTCTTCATGGTCTTCGCAAAGCTCGCCTTGTCTCCCGCTGAGCTACAACTTCACCCAGGACGTGGGGCATTGAGTGAGCCAGTTCTTGTGTCCACGCCCCTCCCAAATGGACAACGGGCTCGCACGCAATGAAGTATGCCAAAAGCCTTTGCAGGATGGTTCTCCAAAAAGCCTCCCGTCCACTACGCCCTAAACGGGAACGGGGAGCCTCCCGCCCTAACTTGAGAGGTGCCCCACAGATTTGGGACCAGGTTCCAACCCCCAACTTGGGAACTGGCTTGACAACTTGGGACCGTGTCAGTTGCAAGCCAACTGGAGTCGAGTCCTTTGGCGTCCCCCTTAAAAGCACAAAGCTGGGCGGGCCTATATGGATCAGCAGATGGGACCTTGCGGGTTTCTAAGCACCTAATTATCCTTGGTGCAAGCCAGAAGCCGTTGATTAGAACCCGTTGAACGGGCCCTCTGATTAGTTTCGAGAGGTTGCCCCGTCAAACACCCCAAAACAAGGCTCCCTGCTGCAGGGAATCCTCCAAATCAGCTGGCGGTTGGGTGATTTTCCACTGGCCAGGTGTATTTTGTGAGGGCTCCTGCAAAGGGCAATGAACTGCCCGCAGGGCGCTTGGGGCGGCTTTGGGCCAAGCTTCCTTTGATTTCTCTGCCCAATGAAAGAGGTGTTCAATGGGCGGGTTCTTTGCTTCTATGGTCGAAACATGGCGACCCCAAATTGGTGGTGGTCCTTCTGCGTTTGGCCGACCCAGAAAAGGTACTCCCAAACCACGAACACGCACACAAAAAAAGAGAAACAAGTAATTATGTTGCTTTGCTTCTCCCTCAGCCCCTCTCCCTCCCAAAAAAAAAGTGAGTGGTCACAAGGTTGTAGTCGAAACTCGGGAGGCGTGCACTGGTAGAACTGGTACAGCTCCTGCGTGACATATGGCCACTCCTTCAAACCCAGGCATCTGCCTGAAACAAAACTGGAGGACCCGGAGCTTCTGTCTTGGACCTCCACAGTTTACCTGCTGGTCCCAGTCCCAAAAACGACGCTTTCCACTTTCCCCAGCCTAAAAGTGGGGGAGAAGGGCCTTCTCAAGCACCCCGCCGGCCTGCACGCGGTCGCGGAGATGCTGGGCCTGACAGAACGCACATCCATCTAATGGCCCTTTGGGCCATCTGTGCGCTCCCGCCTTGCTTGCCGGTCCGGACAGCCCACCGGGTGTTTACATCAAGCTCAATAGACGACACCTGAAAAGCAAATGGTTTCTCTAGATTCATGTTCCTCTTGTCATGGGGCCTCCGCCCAGTTCCAGAGTGGAGACAGAGTGGTCTAGGGTTCAGGGTTCGGTTCCAAAAGTCTCCCAAGCGGTTGGCTCTGGACTGCGGACTCACAAGGGTCCGGTTCCCTGTGAGCCTTTGCTTTGCTTTCAAGGGAGTGGCTGGATGGTGCGGAGCCGTGAACCACCCGGGCAGTTGTTGCGTTCAGAGGATATCACTAAAACGTGTTACCATCGGATTCTGGCTTGCATGTCCAATTCTGGCGTTAAATGTCTCGAATGATGGTGGATTTGAGAAGTCACCAGAGTAATTGACGCAGCCAAGCCCCATTGCACTTCCCAGTTGTGTGGTCGCAAAATCGAAAACCCGAACAAATGAGTGGCTTCCCTCTGAACTCGTTGCCATCCCGAAAATCTCATCAATTCCTACACCGACGGGGTCGAAGAGAAGCAAGCCCGGATATGGGTGATCCACTTGCATCTTGCCCTCGTCTGCTTTTACCCACGGAGTTAACCTACAAAAGGGCCTCCCTCATTGACTCATCGGACCCCTTCCCTCTGCATAGGGGAGGGTCCCCTAGCCCGGGCTCAGCGCATCCGGGCGCGAAACGCCTCGAACTGCGGGTGGATGGCGAGCTTCAGCGGCGTGGCAAGGCGCAGCTCCGCCGAGAGCGTCATGGCCGCCAAGACAATCTCCTCCTTTGGCACGTGGCGCCTGGCGCAAAGTGAGCGAGCCGCGACCTGTCGGAACCGACGCCAACGTGAAGCGCGCCGGGGTTCCGGGCGGAACACGGGTGGAGGCTCCAGTGAAACCCAACAACTGCAGGAAGCAAAAGGAGAGGGGGTCCAAGTCTGGATGCCAAGTGGTGGGGGAGGGGGGGGGAAGCAACCTGTTGTCTTCCCGGGGTGAAACAAACAATCACATATCACATGCCCAACATATTGCAAGTAGGGAACCCATATAAAAACTTGTAAATGCTAATGGTTTCTGGCTGGCTTGTTTCGCAACATTAAGGGCATCCATCGTGCCTGCCACCCACACGTCCGGGTCAAACGGCGCCAAGCTCCGGCTGGCGCGTTTCGCTTCTCTTGGCCGAGGGGCGTCATCCAGTTGAAGAACTCTCCGCGGTCGCCGTCCGGCCAGGCCTTGTCTGCATGGATGCCTCAGCTCGGCCCACCAAAAGACATCGGAAGACCTGATGTGGGCATATGGCCATGGGTCACAAGCCCTTACCCCCAGTGAACATCCCAATCCTCACTGAAATAGACCAGAATGGGTAGTGCACCTACCCCAAAATGGTACCATTGGTTTTGACCCACAGCCACATGTCCAACGCAACCCATGTGTGTCCAAAACGGGTGGATTGGATGTTCCCCGTTTGATTTGCTCAAAGGATCATCATTTCACTGCGTTCTTGTTTCAAGGATTTGTTCTCGCCTGCGGTGCGCAAATGCAAGCTGACAAAACCTGTGTCAGAAGGCGCTGGGTCCAAAATCAAAAGCACTGAGCTTCTCAAGGTGGTTGTGCAGTTCATGTGTGTATCCCCTTCACGCACCAGTCACGGGGGGGGGGGGTGTGGGGCGGGTGTCCCATCTTCATCCACCATGGTCCCCCACGTCCATCGCCATAGAAAGGGACCCGAGAACTCCTCAAGCGCAGTTTGGCCCAAAGCAAAGACCACAAAAATGATCTGGGAAAGCAGCCCCCTTTCAGACCCGGCCGTGTGCAATCGACAGGTTGCAAATCAAACAGCCGGCGCGCTGCAAACAGTTGGGATGCATCGTTTTTGTGAAAAACTGGACTGACCCCATGCCCCAAGTCCGGACCCTCAGCCCCAAGCCCAGCGGAGCTAGCGGCTGGCGTGGCGGTTTTCGATGAAGGGCAGCTTGCTGCAGAGGAAGGCCAACCGCCCCAGCTGCGCCCCGGCCGCCAAGAGAATCACCGCCAGCCTGGCTGGGCCCCCGACTTCCTTTGCATAAAGTCTCTAGATTTTGGTGTGGATGTGGCGAATCTGATCCATTACCAAAAAGATTGCTTGATTGGCACGGACGATCGGCCTGGCCGGAAGTCTGAACTTCTGGTTTGGTGAATTGTTCCGCAAAAACCGCCAAAGACCTGGAAAACTGACCGGCTCAATCCCAAGGTCCACATCCAGGGAGATGTCCGTGGTACTTTTTCGCGGGCACTGGCATAGACTTGGCATCCCTTAGGTTCTTTTGAGCCCTCGGCGCATCTCCATTCTGCATGTTCAAACAGCTAGCCTCCATGGCTTATTTGAACATTAAGGGGGAGCCAGGTAGGGAGAATTCCTGTCGAATCTTGCAAATGGATTGCTTCGTAGGTGGCTTCGTCCTGGTCCCCACGGGTTCGCGCCGCGCCTCAGCCAGCGGCCTCCGCTGTCAAGGCCCAGCAGCACTTGCAGCTGCCGTGGGGAGCTGGCACTGCAGGCCAAAAGCAGCAGGAACGGAGCCCCGATGCCTCGCACGATTGCAAAGCCCCCTTGGCCTCGCACGATTGCAGACGTCTATCACCGGGTCAGAAAAGTACTCAATCGATGGGGTGACAGGAGTGTTCAATGGGCGCGTCTTTTTGAAGGCTTCAGGGAAATGAAGAGAAACATGAAATATGAAGCTCCAAAGCTCTGCGACGCAACAACGCGGAGCCAGAGAGGCACGTAGGGCAGCCTGACATTTGCTAGGACCCGCATCACTTTCAATCTTCGGACGCCAAGCTTCAAGCAGATAAATGTCCAGCATATGTCTAGCTTAGTTCCTGCCGATGTCTAGCACGGTCCTAGTCTGGCAAATGCTCGTTGCCGTGCCTAGGTCATGATGTGCTTAGTTGAGTGGCATTGGCTGGCATATCATCTCAACTAGTGGACGTTTGGTACTTCGACGCTGCTGCTTCGGCGGCAGCGCCGCAGGCATCCAAAGAATGTTGACTGGCATTGCTTTGGCCGCATCTTTGCTGCCTCGGATCCAGGCAGGCGAATAGTGCTGGTGATGCATTGGTCACCAACTCTACTGGTTTTTCTGCTAAGGCGTACTGTCAGTCGCCATGTCCGGCCGCGGCGTCATGTCCTGCAGCATAACTGCATGCAGACCGGGATGATCTGCAAAACCCCGCACTTTTAGATGACGCTTGCATATGGGCCGAAAATTAATTTGGGTTATTTTGCAGCACTTTCTCACGAAATGTGCGTATTTTACACTATCCCGTCAACATCATCAGCATCGTTTTCAACATCCCCTGCATGTCCAGCCAACATCCCCGGCATCACCAGCAAAACGATTTATGGCTTCCTACATCCTCATCCTCAGCATCATCAGTTCCTCTGGTAACAGTCAGGATTCAAATAGGGGTGCAACTCAAATATCAAAAAAATAGCGGGGGAGTTTGGGGGGGACGGACGGCACTCCCATGATGATCACAAAAGTGATGATTCAATTAGGGGTACATTTAATCTCTGCCAAAAGTCTAAAAAGTGGCGGGGGCGGCAGCCACCCAAATGTTCGAAAAAGCGATGATTCAATTTGGGGTGCCTTTTAGTCGAAAAAGTGATGATTCAAACAGGGGTGCATTTGAATCTCTGCATAAAAATCAAAAGTGGGAGGGGGGGCTGCCCCCCTAATGATGTTCGAACAAGTGCACGCGTGCAAACTTACATACATAGATTATACCTACATACTTACATACCTACATGTCTATATACCTACGTACATACATAACCCCCCCATGATGATCGAAAAGTGATACTTCAATTAGGGGTACCTTTTAATCTGCGCAAGCAAATCCAGAAAGTTGGGTGGCGGGGGTGGCGGCGGGGTGCGCCCAAAAAAAATGCAAAGGATGCGAAAAGCCAAAGCCAGAAAAGCCACCAACGCCCCAAAAGCCACATAAACCTATGAAAAAGCAACAAAAGCCAAAAAGCAAAAAAGCCACCCACCCTGAAGAGAACAAAAAGAACTAAAAAATGGCCCTCCTTTTGACGCTTGGTGCTGCATGCGCAGCTGATGCTGCATCACCAGCATCATTTGGATGCCTTGTGCAGCAATGCCAGTCTGCATCACCAGCAGCATTTGGACGCCGGGTGCTGTGGACGCCTTGTGCTGCAACGCAATGCCAGTCTGCATCAACAGCATCATTTGGAAGCTGGGTGCTGCTGAGGCAGCAATGCCCATCTGCATCACCAGCATTATTTGGACGTCTCGTGCTGCAAACGGCTGAGGCAGCAATGCTAGTCTGCATCACCAGCTTCGTTTGGAAGCTGGGTGCTGCTGAGGGAGCAATGCCCATCTGCATCACCAGCATTACGTCTCGTGCTGCAAGCGCGGCTGAGGCAGCAATGCCAGTCTGCATCACCAGCAGCAAGGGCTGCAGGGAGCACGGCCCGTCTGCATCACCAGCATTATTTGAACGTCTCGCGCTGCAAGCGTGGCTGGGGCAGCAATGCGAGCCTGCATCACCAGCATCATTTGGACGCTGGGTGCTGCAAGAGCGGCTGAGGGAGCAATGCACGTCTGCATCACTCGCATCATTTGGACGCCTCGTGCTGCAAGCGTGGCTGATACAGCAATGCCAGTCTGCATCACCAGCGTCACTTGGACGATGCATGCGGTGGCAGCAATGCCAGTCTGCATCCCCAGCAATGCCATTTTGCATCACCAGCATTCTTTGGATGCATGTTGATGCAAGCACAGCCCAAAATAGCAGTGCCACCTGTCACTTTCAGTATTCCCTGCCACTGCAAGCACAGCTGAAGCAGCAAGGCCAGTCTTCGCATCACCAACATTACTTGGACACCTTCTGCCAGCACTATTTCATGCCTGCTCATTTTGACTACTCGGATGGCCAGAGCACATGCAATGCCGACTCGCATCACCGGCATCATGCGGACTCCTGGTGTGCAAGCGTGCAAGCGAATGAAGCAGCGATGCCAGCATTATTTGGATGCCTGTTGATGCAAGCGCGGCCCAAAGCAGCGCTGCCTACCCGCATGGTCTTTATTAGCTGACGCGCCGGCTCGCACCATCCGGACGCCTCAGTCGGCATCTGCAGCATTACTCGGACGTCTGCTGGCGCAGGCGCAGCTAAAGCAGCAACGCCTTCATCACCAGCATGCTGTGCACGCCTGCTGCTGAAGCTGCTGTGCCAACACGAATAAATCACGAAAGGGAGGCGCCATACACGAAGAAACATGTTTTGTCTTCAAATGCGGCATTGCCTTCAGCCTTCCTTTTCGGTCCATTCTGTTATGGCTGTGCCGTTGCCCACGCCGTCACAGTGGACCTGCTCTGCAATCAACTCATTTCGAGGCTCAAGTATTTGCAATCCAAGGCCTCAGACCGACTACCAAGCACCAAGCAAAGAGTGACAGGCATTCGCACCGCAGAGCATCCAAACATAAGATTATTCAATTCCGGCATCCCTATTTTCAGGATGCACTCCCAAAAAGAATCAGCGTGAAGCCCATAAACGCCCCCCCCCCAAGAGATGCTGCGCAGCGGAGTATCATAGGAGATGACTGCACTACATACATGATTGTCCGGTCATGAGGTAGTTTGGTTTACAGCACTCCACGACCCATTCGAATCATGTGGGCCCTCGGGGCTTCTCAAAAAAGGCGGACCCAAGAAAGGAAACGAGCCATTTCAGTTTCGGAGCTACATGTAGGAGCCTTGCAAAAACACATCAATCTTCACAACCCTTTCTATGGCCTTGCAAGAAAAAGACTTGCGGTTTCTTTGCAGTTCAAAAATGAACTGGGAAAAACAACTTGATCCAACGGCGAAACTTGCGTTTATTGCAGCCCACTAAAAATGAGAACAAAGAAAGAAACTGCTTCCAAGAACCGCGAAGGTTTTGGCGATGCTCCACTTTCTCGCACGACGCTTGGTCCAAGTGGCACTTCAGACGGCTGATGAAGGCTCCGAGCACCAGAAACAGCGCCGTCTGCACCAGCAGCACACAACAGGCGAAGGCATAGGCGTAGTCTGGGACGGGAAAATTCCCCCCCCCCCCCCCGCCAATGGTTCAGCTGAAACAAATGCGGCATGATGTGGGGGCCCGAAATATCGCTTGTGGATTTGAGGTGAGCTTTGCGGAAAGCCATGCATATTTGTTGGTTTCAACCTGGAACCAGGGAAGCCAAGGACATCATCATACAAAGGAGTTTCCTACCTTTAGGGAAAAACACATGTCCTGGATGTCCTCAGATCCCGGAAGCAACAAAGGAGGCCCTTGTTTCAGGGTTATTGGGAGCTGTTCGAACCATTGGACCATCCCAGAAAGTAAACAAAGCCTTCAAATGCCAACAGGGACAGGCAGCGCATTCATTCCCAATCAGCCACTTGCAGTCATAGGTGTGGACAAAATGTTGGACAACTCAAACCTCAGAGCCCGGAAAGCCAGTCTCTGCTTCGTTTTCCCAGAAACCGTGACTGCGTGTCTGCCTGCCAAAAAATGTGTCTGAAGGCTTGCTTCTACTGGACCCTCTCCATTTCAGGGGTCACGAACCAAATGTCTAAGAGAACTGGACCCGAAGGACGTGGTAACAGCTCTTGATGAGCCACCCTTGGGACTCTCAACTGCAACCAGCAGTTGGCACAATGGGTATGAACTTGAAGCGGGAATGGATGTCCGCCGGCCATTTTGTAGGGTGTCCTCTGTTAAATCCATAGCCGAACAGCCCAGGATCCTGGATTGGGATGAGGGATATGCCGCGCTTGAACCACAAATCACTCCCAAGCTGAAAGTAGGAGAGTCCTTGAAGACCATTCGCCCCCATTTGCCGGCAACACCCCTGCCAATGGACAAAGGACCAAATTGGGGGGGAGGGGGGGTGCAGTGGACACTCCTGCGCCATTTTACGGCCAACATTCCCGTGTAAAGAGCGAAGCCGCGACTACGGCGGGCCCTGCGGGCGCGGCGGGCGCGGCGGGCGCGACGGGCGCGGCCCTGGGCGCGGCGGGCGCGGCGGGCGCGGCGGGCGCGGCGGGCCGCGGTGGGTGCGGGGACACGGGCGCGGCGCGATGTGCGCGGCGGGCGTGGGCGCGGGCCCTGTGGGTGCGGCAGGGACGCGGGGGGTGTGACTACTTGAACTGCTACGCCACAAACGCCAGGCGGGGGCCCGAAGCGGCGGGCGGGGTTGGCAGGCGCGGCGACCGCGGCAAGCTGACGGCGGGGTGCACGGCGCCGCGGCGGGCGCGTCGCGGGGCGCGCCGTTGGTGGGCGCGGTGACGAGGGCGCGGGGGGCGCGGCGGCGTGGCGGGCGCGGCGGGGGTTTTCGCGGCGGGCGGCGGCGCGCGGGGCGGGCGCGGGTGCGCGGGAGCGGTGGGTGCGGCTGGACGCGGGGCACGGGCGACGGTGGGCGGCGGGCGGGCGCAGGGGTCGGGCGCGGGGCGCGGTTGGGTGCGGCTGGCCGGGGTGTGGCGGTGTGTGCGGCGCAGGGGCCTGGCCGGGCACGGGGCGGGCGCGGGCGCGAGGCGCGGTGGGTGCGGCGGACGCGGTGGCGGGGCGCGATGTGCGCGGCGGGCTCGTGGAGAGCGGGGCGCGGGTCGGTCGGCAGGCGCTGTTGGGCGCGGCGGGGGTGGGGTGCGGTGCGCGACGGGCGTCCGCGGGGCCGGGCGCGGTGAGCAGCGGCGAGCGTCGGGCGCGCGCACGCGGGCGCGGCGAGAGCGGCTAAGCGCGGC